GTTAGCACTGAAAAGTCAACTGTAATTCTGATGGGTTTTCATTCATATGTGACTTGTTGTTTCTCTTTTGCAGCTTTCAGTATTGTCTCTTCGTTTTGTACGTTTCGTGTTTTACTATGATGTGCCGTGGAGAGTTTCTTTTGTGGTCCTGTCTGTTTGGTGTTCTATATGCTTTTTGTATTTGTATGGACATGTCTTTCTTAATTTTGGGAAATTTTCTTCCATGATCCTGTTGAAGATCTGGTCCATTATCTTGGGATTCTTATCCTTCCTGTATGCCTATGATTCGTAAGTTTGGTCTTTTTATGGTGTCACATAATTCTTGCATATTCCATTCTTAAATTTTTCATAATCTTTGCTTGAGTGGTCCAGTTCATCCACTTTATCTTCCAGTCTTGATACTCTGTTTTCCATTTCATTCATCCTATTGGTGTGGCTTTCTCCTGTTGTTTCTAATTGGCTCACTGAGTGTTTCTCTTCCTTCTTCATTTCAGCCTGAGTAGGTTTCAGTATTTCTAACTCTTTTCTGAATTCATTCAGAAGTTTATCCCTATCTTTCTTCAGTTATTCGATTTCTTTGTGTGTTCTTTAAATTCACTGAATTCTTTTATCATGTTTATAACTGTTCTTTTGAGTTCCATGTCCTGCATTATCTCTAGGGGGTTCTCATTGTACTCCTCTAGAGGACTGTTGGTATTTGGTGGGGATATGTTATTTTGGTTTTTCGTGTTACTATTTTTTCTCTGTGATTTTGACATGTGAATTTCTTTTGTAGTTTCTGATTCTTGTGTGAGACTCAAGCCTCCCAGTTTAGGTCTGCTTCTTTTGTAAACTTTATGTTTCTTTGTGGTTTATTTTTTGGGCATGAAAAGCTGGTTCGTCTAAGCTTCAGGTTCTCTCTTTTTATTTTATGTTGGAGAGGCCAGATTGCTTTTGTCTTCAGGAATTCCCACAGAAGCCCAAGTCACATGAGGATCAGATGCTCTCAGGCTTTCTCCTAAGGTCTGGATCCATCCAGGATAGATTTTGGCCTCGAGTTTGGGGTTGGACTGGCCTGGGAGCCGGGCCCAGGAAACATGCTGGTCTAGGGCAGCTCGTGGCGGTGCTATCCAGAGATGCAAAGGAAGATGGGGGTGGGAAGCGGCCCCAAGGGCTCCTGGGGACTCACTGAGGAGCTGGGTTGGTCTGGATGCAAAGAATCAGGAAGCAGTGGTGGTTCCCTAGGTGTCTGGGGTGCCAAGACATGGAATGGGACAGGACCCAGGCTAGGAGGAGAGATCAGTGGGGGAGATGGGAGGGTGAACAAGGCCGGAGGAGTCAAGGCACAGAGGGCATGATCGACTTACCCCAGAGAGCGGCCTGCGGGTTATACAGGCCCAGGGAAGCAGAGGGTGGTCTGTGTTTTTGTTTTTTAAGACAGGGTCTCACTGTGTAGCTCTAGCTGGCCTGGAACTTGCTATGTAGACACCAGGCTGGCCTTAAACTTAGAGAGATCTGCCTGCCTCTGATTCCCAGAGAGCTGGGATTAAAGACACGAACTACCATGCCCAGTTTAACATTTTTATAATGTAACATCTTTTTGCATGGAAACTAGGAGCACAGCTTTTCCTCATGGCTAAGAGCTAACATAACTTAGTTTTACTTTTTTTTCTCTAGAATACCATTTTCCGGATATATTTATTGAGATTTAAGAAAATCTCAACTTTAGAAGCATTATTCCAAAAACAATAGGAATTCTGTGATTCTGATAGAAATACTCAGTATACAGTCATTGTGTTTATTGTGTGTAAAGTCTCAGTGACAGTAGCACAGTTCTTTCCAGGTATAGATGATTGAGTCAATGTGGTACTAGGTAGAAGTCTCATGATAAACCAGTCTGATTTTCTAATTATGTCAAACCACGGTTGCTGTACTAGTCATTATTTTTTGCTTTCTGTTATATAGTATCGAGGATTCGGCCTAGAGCCTTGTACATAAACCCTAGCCCTGCTTTTTACTTTCTGAGATAGGGTTTCATTGTTCTGCAAGCTGACCTTGAGCATAGCCCAGGTAGGCCTGGAATTTGTGATTCTCTTGCCTCAGCATCCCAAGGAGTTGGGATTTCAGGCCTGTACCACCTTGTTACCAGGTGCTGTTGCTAGGATGATTTGTCTAATTCTCTAGGCAGTGTGGACTGGTACAGAGACCAAGTTGCTATCTTTTGGGAGAATGTGTGTAGGTCTTAGGATTCCTATATACACAGAAGTGAGAAAAACACTAGGAATTATGCTGGTTTTGAGATGGAGATATGTTATCCAAGATTTTGAAGAGGTAAGATGAGAGGCTAATTTGGATTTCATGAGATTTTTAAAGAAGGAAACAAATCTCCTTAGTTGAATCATTGAATACTAAAGTTGAAAAAAGATAAATATCTGAGAATATTTGTCAGCCTATGTTTCCAAGTAGGTTCTGAAGCTTAGACGGATGTGGTTAGACAATCCACCCACCCAAGACCGACCAGCTAGCAAAAGACTATATGTGAATATTGGTTTTGCTTCCATTGTTTATAGTTATTAACTGACGATAGTGCTAAGAGTTATTAGCATTCTGACCCCAGTTTCTCAGTAGAGGATAAAAAGATATTTGGTAGTCATCTTTTTAGATCAATGTATATTAGAACAAGTTTGACAAACTTCTATTGCTATTTCAGACTTTGCAGGGTACAGAGTTCTCTGTTGCATATTCTTTGTGTTTTCTTTTACTTTGTTTTCTTAAACTCCTTTGAAAATGTACCATTTTTAGCTAAAGAAGCATACAAAAATGGACTTTGGTCTGGATTTGGCCAGTCAGCTCTAGTTTGCAGCTCTGGTATAGGATGTTGATATTTCTACGTTATCCCTCTCCTCCAATAGGAATCCATCACTTGAAGATCAAGCTTGTGACCGAATTTACCGAGTGGGGCAGCAAAAAGATGTTGTCATACACAAGTAAGCAAAGGCCCCCTGACCCTTCCCAACACATGCTTTTGTGAAGGCCTTTCTTACACAGTATTTTAAATAGCATATAAAGTAATACTTGGTGACACTTTACTAATGACACTCCTGAGTCATATCCTCAGGGATACTGTAGTTAGAGTTAGTCACTTCCAAAGAACAAGTGTAGGTGTGGGTGTGGGTGTGGTAGAAAGCTGTAGAGGCTAGAAGCAGCCTAAAGGGCTTGCTCCCTAGCTCCCTTTTTCCCCCTTCTTTTTGCTTAATTTTTATTATGGTATAATCTTGGTCATACAGAAAAGTTGTAAGGAAATTACCAAAATGTTCCCATGTCCGTGTGTGTGTGTAAAAGTTTTTGTGGAGAGAGATAAATACATTTCCTAAAAATAAGGGTATTCTCTTATATAACCATATCACATATGTGTATATAGTTATATAATTGAAATTAGGATGATAACATCATTGTACTAGTGCCTGATCAGACCTTATTCAGTTTCACCACATCTTCCAGTGGTACCCTTCACAGCAGAAGGAATCCCAGATCAGTGTAGCATGTACTTGTCATGACTTTGGTTGGTTGTTTTTGTTTTTTTTTTTCCTTTGAGTCATGGTCTCCCTATAGCCCTAGCTGGCCTGGAACTCACTATGTAGACCAGGCTGGCCTTGAACTCACAGAGATCCACCTGCCTCTGCCCGACTTATATTTTTTCATTGTTAATTTTTAAATTTTTATTTATGTTTACGAGTGTATTGCCTGTATATATGTAAGTGCACTTGTGTCCTGCAGTGCCCTCAGATCAGAAGGCATGGGATCCCCTGGAACTGGAGTTTACAGACAGTTGTGAGCCACCATGTGGGTGGTGGGAATTGAACCCGGGGCCTCTGTAAGAGCAGTCAGTTGGTGCTCTTAACCATTGAGCCATCTCTCCAACCCCAACTTTGTATTCTTTAATCCAGCACAGTACCCCAGTCTCTGTGTTTTAGACACTGACATTTTGAAGTACACAGCTTGTTATTTGCAGAATGCTCATCTACCCAGGCCCACATGACTTCAAGAACAACAAAACCTGCCTTTTAACTATGCAATACACTCTTGCTATGGCTCTCTTCTATTGCCTTTAGATGACCAGGTTTAGTGAAGAGTCTAGAAGTCAGTCTGTACTGGCTTACCTCCATTCCTTCATTATTTGCCTTTTACCCAGTTTCACGTAAGCTGCTCTTTAGGGGCACTAGTGATCTCCAAAATTTGCCAAATGCAGTGGTTATTCATTTTTCTGTCTTTAGCTTTCTTCTCTGTTCATTTCTGTATGTTCCTCCCTTAAGTATATCTACTCTAGTAAGTATAAAATCTATACTTTTTTTTTTATGTGTACAAGTGTATTGCCTTGCATGTATGTGGGTGCACCCGTGTTGTACAGTGCCTTGGAGGTCAGAAGAGGGCTTTGGATTCCCCTGGTACTGGAGTTAAGGACGGTGAATAGCCACCATGTGGGTGCTGGGAATCATTCCACTGTCTCCTAAACTTTTAATCTGGATATCCAAAATCCCAGCTAAATATCTGAACCTAAGAGTTCACATGCTCATCCATGTTCGTTCATTCGTTTGTGCATTCAGATACCAAAATGAATACTTGCTGAGCACCCTCCATGTGCCAAGTGTAATTACATGTCTCATAGGATCAAAACTTCTCAAACTGAGGTTGCTGCTTTCTACCACCTCAGATCTGCTTAATACGCAGTGATCTTGTGTCAACAGTGCCACTGTTCGTCTAATCCAGAAACTAGATTCCTTCTTCACCCTCAGCTTTTCACATACCGAGGCCTTTAGTTATATTTTCAAAATGTTTCTGTTTGCTGTCCTTTCCGTCCCATCGCTGCTGCCAGCTCCCTTTCCCGCTCCTCTGATTCCTGTTTGTTTTACATAGGGATATCTTTTGCTTATTTGGGGCTTTTTCAGTTTGCTTGCTTCAGAATGAAATAAAAACTATGGGGCACATCATTTTAAATGTACAAATTTAATAAAAGTTGTTTGAATTCCCTAATCTTAGTTAATCCTAAGAAAACTTTTTAAAAAAAAAGTCTCATTAAAAATAGCAGCACAGAAATTTGAATGCATTATTAAATAAGCTGCTTTGGGTTTCTGATCATTTGTATGTTTGCTTGGTTTTTAGATTTGTTTGTAAGGGAACAGTAGAAGAGAAGATCTTGCAGCTCCAAGAAAAAAAGAAAGATTTGGCCAAACAGGTTCTTTCAGGATCTGGAGAATCTATCACCAAGCTTACACTGGCTGACCTCAAAATCCTTTTTGGCATCTAATGTCCTCTGTCAGGTACAGAACAGTGCTATGGCTGGTTTGTACTAGGATCTGGGAATGACATTCCCACCATAATCCTTGAGCTCCTTTCTTAGATTTCACCTTCAAGACTTAACACCCTCCTCAAGCTGAGGCATATTCTTTTGCCTGGAGTTGAGGATAGGTCACCATGTTAACAAATTGGTTTAATCATGTTTATTACTCAGTTTATTTAATGAATGGAATAGAAATTTGTCAGTTATTTCAGATTAAAAAATGCTTTTAAGCTGGGCATGGTGGTACATGGCCTATAATCCAAATACTTCGAAGCAAGAGAATGGGGACTTCAGCTCAGCCTGGATTATAGACAAAAACAGAAATGCTTTGGAAGCCAATCATGGTAGTCCACAATTGTAATTATAGCACTTAGGAGGCTGATGCAGAAAGAGTGTAAGTTGGAGGCCAATTTATGCTACAAAGTAAGTTTCAGGCCAGCCTTGGCTACAGAGTGAGAGTCTGTCTCAAAAAACAAACAAACAAAAACAAAGAAAGCTTTGTAGTTAAACGGTTTGGGAAGGCAGCTGTGGAAGAACCGTAGAAAGCATCTGTAAAGCTCAAGAAGCCGTATAGCCAGACATGATGGAAAATGCCTATGATCCCAGCCCCCTGAAAGCAAAGGTCAGAGGACCTTAAGTTTGAGGCTAGCCTGGGTTACATATTGAGTTCAAAGCCAGTCTGAATTACATAGTGAGACCTTGTCTCAAACAAACAATAAAGCCTGTATTGCCTTCCTTTCAGCTGATGGAGGACTGGTGTTACTACCTTGTCTAATGCAGGTTGGATCCCATCTACTTCATCTTTTCTTGCTGGCCAGGCTCTTCCCTGTAAGCCTCTCTGTGGGCTGAGCAGATAGTAGATCCCTGCAACCATCCAGCTCTGTATGGCTGCCTTAGTCCAGAAAGTTCTTCCCTGGCTTAAAGCCAAGGAGATACATTGCTCATAAACAGATGTCGAGTAGTGTATTGTGGTATCATCTGGTATCTGTCATTTAGTGTGTGCACCATTGTTTGTATCAGCATCAGTGTGACTGTGTCACTTAGTTTTTTCATTTAGTATGTGTATCATTTGTTTTCACAGTATTTCTATCATGTAGTATTTCTATTATATAATTTAATGTTTGGGTAAATTTTAGTTATCTGTAGCATTTAGTACTGTTTCAGTATTGACCATTGTTCCACTCAGTATTTGTGTTATCACTGGCATCCTCTAATAAACATGGGTTTGACAGTCTGACAGATGTGCTATGTATTCACCAAACCCTATTTCCTCTGGGCATCTAGAGAGTATGTTTCCTGGCTGCATTTAGGCTCCACATTACTGAATTCTAGTTGGGGTAACATGCAGAGAAGTGATATAAGACATTTTTAGGCTGCCCTCTGCAACTTTCCAAATGCTTCTTCATGCTGTTTCTCTCCATTAGCCAAATGGATATAGGAACTGAAGGGAAGATGTTGTGGCCTTAGGAAGCGTGAAACCACTTGATTAGAATGTCTTAACCTAGCTTTGGTCACAGATTTTTTTTTTTTCAACTTGGTCCAAGAGTGAAGATAAAGTTTTCCATGGCTAGATAGACTTTCAGGCTCTTTAATAACTGTATCCAGGGGCTGAAGAGATGGCTTAGTGGTTAAGAGCACTGGATGTTCTTGCCGAGGACCTGGGTTTGGTTCCCAGCACCCACATGGAGGCTAACAATTATTCTTAACTCCAGTTCCAAGGGCTCCAATGCCCTCTTCTGGCCTCCATGGGCATTGCACACACATAGTGCACTTACATACATGCAGGCAAAACATTCATACAAATAAAATAGAAATTTAAAAAATACTAGTAAAATTTTGAAACTCCATCCAGGACCCCTATTGCCATGCAATAATGGACAGCAGTAGGCAGAGTTACACCTTTATGGGATGGGACCCCTTTCTCTGGCAATCATGTGATTGTGGTTTTTTTTTTTTTTTTTTTTTTTAAATTCAGGGTCTTGCTGTGTACGCTCTGTAGCCAAGATTATAGGCATGCAGCATCATGCTCTCATCTAATGATTTATTATGGCTCCTTATGCACAATGTTATTTCCTGAGTATCTCTTGCTCAATCAAGTGGCTCTTTGCAGAGCTCCAAGTAGACTCTCCCACACCAATAGGATAATCATGGGCTACAAGTAGCATGGCCTCTTGTTATATGAAAACTGGATGTTTAATACCGTAAGAATTGAGCTTACAAAATGGGATGTTTACTGCTATCATATAGCTTCTAGCCCTTTCTAGAAAAGTACATGAAGACCCCAAAAGCATATGTGCAGGCACAAAGAGACATAGAATAGAAAATTTGAATTCCTAGGCATATAATCTGTATTAAAATGTTTTCATCAATAAAAATGAGATTAAGGTTAATTAGGTGCAATGTACTTCAGGAGTCAGAAGCTGAGGGAAGGAGATGGAAATGTAAGAACAGTCTCAGTTGAGAACAGGTAACATGTAGCCATATAATGTGTTTCCATCTTGAGTCCTTTTACCCAGGTTCCATAGCAAGATGTAAGTAGAGGTAGAGGTTTTATAAGAGAGGAAGGATGGGGAGACAGTTTCTATTACTCAGTTACACATGCATTAATCGAAAAATCTATCAAGTACCTAATGTGTGCCAGGCTCTGTTGAGTATTTCAGATATAAGGGTAAGCAAAACCAAATGCAAGCCTGTCTTCCTGAGGCTTAAGAGTCCAGAAGGGAGGACAGGCATTAATTGAATGTGTGGCTATGCTCTGGCATGGTGCAAGGGCTGTGATAGAGGGGGCTGTGTAGTTGGGAGAGCTCATCATAGAAACTGACCTATTAAGTGCCTTGAAGAAGTAGCAAAGGTATGCCTTTATCAATAGGTAGAAGTCAACAGAGTGGGATGCCTTTTCCTATTTCTACTTCTAATTAGCATTCACTTCATCAAGCTAATTCTAGCTGAGCCACGCCTAAGGCATTCATCCTTTAGAGTAATGCTGATCAATGATTGAATTTAGAGGTTAGCGAATTTTTTTTTTTTTTTTTTTTTTTTTTTGGTCTTTTTGAGATGGGGTCTCCTTGTAGCCCCAGCTGGCCTGGAACTCGCTATGTAGAACAGGTTGGCCTCAAACTCAAGAGATCTACCTGCTTATGCCTCCCAAGTGCTGGGATTATAGGCTTGCACCACCACACTCCTGAAGGACTTTCTTACCCTAGGACAGTGCCTTTATCCTCACCTTGGAGTTTTAGGTTTTTCACATTACTCTGACTTTTGCCAGGTCTTTTGGGTGCTAGTGGAGTTGAATTAAACTGGGCCAAGACCCCTTTATTCTATAGGCCAGGGAGTAGCATCCCCTTCTGTCACTTAAGCAAACTTCATATATTTGTATCAGATTTGTTCCCATTAATGTTGCCTAGAGACTGAGGCATTAGCCAGAACCTAGATGTCCCACAGGAATTTTCTGTTGCAGTATAACTTCATCTATGGTGAAGGCTGTAATAGAGGGGCCTATGCAGTTGGCAGTCTGACAGACTTACTATGTGTTCACCAAACCCCATTTCATTTTTGTGATTGTCTTCTAAGCAACCTGTTTTCCCTTTATACTGTATTCTTCTAATAGAGATGATGAAGTTGTCCAGTTACTGAAATCTTTCCAAATAAATACGTAAGCTTTTTATCCACAGTTCTGCAATCTGATTCATAAAAACACACATGGGGAAAGATGATGTAATAAGCAGATTTCTTCATGACAGAAGAATCCCTAGCTGACTGAGGTAACTGGAAAATTCAAGGCTGGTCCCTCAGGTACACATAATTTATCCAACAAGTTTGAGAGACGGTATTTTCCCAAGTGATACTCGATTAAATGAGAACTACTTGGGTTTGGGAGAAGGAAAGTCATGAAAACCAAGTACAGCCAAACTAAAAATTCCAATTTTTCAATTAATTTTTATTCATTCAACATAATATTGTCTCTACTGTGTGCCCAAAACTCCTACATGGGGATAACATAGTAGTTATTAAATGTCAAATTCCTGCCCTCATAGAGTTCAAAGTCTAGTGTAATAGGACAGACATATGACAGACTATATATGATGACGTGTGCAAGGCAGGTGATATCTTCTCCTGGATGAGGTGCTGTTGTATGCAGGGTACTTAGGACATCACTGTTTGGAGGTAGTTGACACTGGAACAGAAACCTGAAGAATCAGAGTGAATCATGGAAGTAGGATATATCTGTGAAAAAGGCTTCTCAGATGGAGGGGCAGTGACTATAAAGGCTCCAAGACAGTGTTTTCAGTGTAAAGGGCACCGGGCAGGCCAGTGTGGCCGGAGAGATGGTGGAGGGATAGGTAGGAAATAAGCAGAGATCATGCTGGTCATATGCTGATGAAGGATGTATCATGACTTTTTTTCTGATCGAAGTAAGATGCTTAGCAGAATGACATAATATGACATTCTCTGAAAGGACCTCTATTGGGAGAAGACAGGGTAAGGGAGTAAGGTGGAAACAGGCTGATTAGAAGACCATCATAAAACTTCAGGTGACAAGTCTTGACATCTGAGACCAGGATGGTAGCAATGCATGTGGAGAGCAGTGGTTAGATGTGTTTTGAAGGTAAGGCTGGTAGGATTTGCTGTGTTTTAGATGTGTAGACAGGCATGCCACGTTTCCAAGGCTTTTCTTTTTAATTTTTAAATTACATTTCTTTTGTGTGTGTACATGTGGGGGTGTTTAAGTGCTACAATGCATTGTATGGAGGTCAAGAAGACAACTTGCAAGAGCTGGGTCTCTCCTTTTACCACATGGCCCTGGGAATTAAACTCAGGTCTTCAGGCCTGGCAACAAGCATCCTTGTAAAGAGATAGAGAAGACTAAAAGAGAAACAGTTTGGTAGTGGCAGTCAAGAGGGAAGAACTGGAAACTGCAAGTCTGGACATATAAATTTCAGGTACCTGTTATACATACAGGAAGAGACATTAAATAGCCTATTGGACATAATCATATAGAGTGGACCTGGAGGTAAGCTTAGGAGTCATCAGTGTACAAACAAGTCTTGATAGGGAGGCTAGAGAGATGGCTCAGTGGCCAAGAGCACTGGTTGTTCTTGCAGAGGGCCTAGGTTTGGTTCCCAGCATCCACTTGGTGGCTAACAATCATCCATAACTCCAGTTCCAGGGAATCCAGTGTCCGCTTCTGGCCTCTGTGAACAGTGCACGACACCGGTGCACTTACACGCAGGCAAAAACACTCATACACATAAAATAAAAATAAAAATTCTTAAAAATGAAATTATGATAAGTTGAGATCTCTAGGGAACCATGGAAGGATAGAACTTCCCCTTAGCTCTCTTCAGTATACAGAGAACAGGAAGCTATATGAGCAGAGACAGAAGGAACAGGCAATGAGCCAGAGTGCAGGGATGATGCTTCGTGGAGGTCTAACAAATGTTCTATTTGTTAGGAAAGCTGCTCTGGTCACTGTGAACTACTTAACTTAATATATCTCTGGTCTGTAACCCCACTACATGCTATTAGCACCCTCCTCTTGCAGAGACAACCAGTACCATCTCTAAGACTTTGCAAAACTGCCAGCTACTCCTTGGAGAGGTGGAGGTGGGGAAAAGTTACTCCTGGCTGAGAACCAATGGTTTTAAAGCAGCAATGATGAGCTGTGGGTCCAGAGACATCAGGAGTGAGGGGCAAACATGAACAATTTGAGATAGTAATGGGCAGTAGTGTCCTCTGGGAAGACACTACAGAAAGGCTAAAGGGAATGTTTTTGGAAAGAATGGAAATTAGTATCTTAATGTTTATGGCTTTAATGTAGCCTGAATCCAGCAGCTTCAAGAAAGAAATATATTCCATGGTGACTTGATAGTTGTCATCTAATTATTTCACTTCCTGTGCCTAATCCATTTCTCCACTCAAATGAATTGCCCAGTTATTAAGGGATCTTACAATGCAAATTTCAATAATTATATTTAATATATGCTGAACTTATTTCTGACTAAGAAACCAAGAATCCCAGAAGATACAAAATGTAACCAGAGAAGACCTCAGCAGGCCTGAGGCAGGAAAGTCTAACAGCTTGGGAGGTACCCTGGAAGTCAGTGCTTTCAGTCAGTTTCTAGGTGTAGAGACACAGGCAATGACACTAGAAAGGAGAGCTGTGAGGGTGAAGGTATGTAGTTCACCTCGCATGAGAAATGCAAAGATGGATAAGACCTTTCTACACCATTCCTCTTTATTAACTTCCTACTTGTATGCTGTATATAATCAATCTAGGCTTCTTTCAGAAGGAGGCGGGAAACTCACCCAAATAGCAAAATCACATTTTATAATCGTCATGAAGCATATACTGGGAAAGCCCCTAAAAGAATGCCAACAAAAAGCAACTCAGTCAAGGGGTTTTCATTCATGGAAGAAATGTTTAAATTGTAGCCCAGGAATAAACTGAAGAGGTTATAATACATTAGAAAATTACACCCCCCCCATGATCTTTCTGTTCCGATGGCATAGACATTTCATGCCTGTATAAAACAGAAGGAAGCCTCCCGTGGTATAGGAAGAGCATCACCTGCCTTGAAGAACAGTGCAGAGGTGGACTTCTGCGCTTCACCGCTACAGTGACAGGTGAGTAGCTCACAAAAAAGCACTTGAACGCTAATGTCAGATAAGGCACTCTTGTTTCATTCTGTCAGTCTCTTCATAATTACTCAAGCTCTGGGGTCCTCTGGAAATCCAAGTCACATTGGCTGCAGGTTTACCTGGTCGAGCTCATACCCAGGAAGCCATCAGAGTGCCACTGTCCTAAGCAGACTCCTCGGTGTGCTCTGTCCCCCTGTGCCACATGTACACTCACACTTCTCAGTAAACTTCCCACAGCAAGACCAGTGGGGGCGACCTGGGTGGCCTTTGTGCCCATGGCCGCAGCCTAGGTACCCACCTGCACAACACAAAGGGGGAGAACAACCCTGAGAGTGGAGTCCTCTCTACTGAGCTGTTACCATGGAAATTAAACCCCCTGGCAACATTTGGACTTAGGTGAGTGAAAATCTCTAGGAAAATCTGCTAAGAGGAATTACTTGATTCTACATAGTCAGAACTTTCAAGACAACTATAGTCAGCCAAGGCTCTCAAAACTGTTACAATGTGCTATCTGAAGATGAACTAGTTCAGATTTTAACTGCAAAATGAGTGAAAAAAAAAGTCTATTAATGAAAATGAAAAAGGAGGTAAATTCTGAAGTGATTATATGAAAGGCTATAAGAGCCCATTTTATGGGTCTCTGTTAGAGTAGACATGATAGAATAATTTTTAAAAAATGATTTAGGGCTGGAGAGATGGCTCAGCGGTTAAGAACACTGGTTGTTCTTTGCAGAAGACCCAGGTTCGAATTCCAGCACCCACATAGCAGCTAACATATGTCTGTAACTCCAGTTCCAGGGGATCCAACAGCCTCTTCTGTCCTCCTCGGGCATTGCACGACATGGGTGCACTTACCTACATTGCAGCCAATACACACATAGACATAAAAATAATAAACTTAAAAAAAAAAGAAAAAAAGATTTCTTGCCTGGAGATCCTGCCTCCCCAGAGAGCCAGACCTTGTTCAATCATCGCCTGCCCCTGATCCCTGCCCCCAGATTTGGAATTTCTTCATGATTTTAAAGGAGATTAAATGGTCTGTATTACAGTTGCTCTGGCTGCTAGAAAGGGTGCAGACTGGTAAACTGCATCAAAACTAAAAGAACTCAGAACTTTGAAGCCAGTTATTTCAATTTAGAACAAAGATGCTTATGTGGATTTTTTGTTTACCCTGTCTCTACCAAGGCTATATTTCTAGAAGCAAAGCCTCAGTCCAAACACCCTAAGCTCCTGGCTGTGCGGCAGTAAAGGAATGACTGCCACCACTGCTGCTGCTAGCAGACTTGAGGGCACTGACCTTCCTCCTTACCTGGCATGGTGCCTCCACAGGCACAGCGTGCCGTTTTCTGGCCTCCACTGGAGCAGAAGGAACAGCAGTGAAACACACCTGAGTGGGGGCGATGCTTCTTTCTCACGGTCACAGTGAATGGTGAACCCTGCAAGGTTCAGGCCAAGAGCAAAGACCGTACCTCGTGAATCAATGAGATGTGCATCGACATAGACTAAGCAGTCTTAAGTCACTAGCCTAAGACACAGGGCAGAAATATATCAGAGGAAAAGGACTGTGCTCAGCTGGATGGGACAGATACAAGTAGAGTGCAACTGGAATCAGTCTGCGTGGCCCTCCTCCACGCTTGTTACCACAGATAACTGCTCAATGAAAAAACTAAGCACCCACATGGAAGAGTTCTATAGTCAGCTCCAGTTTCCGTGGCATCTGAACTGGCAGGGGATTGTCTGGCAAAGAGCTTAAGCTCTTTCTTCATGGGTTCTGCCTCCCTCCAGCCTTGTATGAAGTGAAAGCATGTCATCTTTTGGCACATGCACCACAGCAGGGCTTTCATGACACTGATGGCAGTCTTTGGAAGTCTCCATCTCAATTCTTCAGAAATCTCTGGGTAATCACTAGGATGTCACAACTACAAGTTTAGGACATCTGGCAGTACTTGCTTTGGTTTCTCGGCCATGTATCTCTTCTCACAGAGCTAGTGACTATCCTGCCACTAGACCCTGGACACCACACATCTGTTTATCTACTTATCCAGGGACTGTGAAGACACACGGAAAAGTTTAGTGTGTGGCTAATGACTCTCAAATTAGTAACTCTTCCCAACTTTTCTTTCTTCCTGTGGCTCCAGCTGGCCTGGAACTTGCTACATAGACCAGGCCTCAGACTTCACAGAGATCCACCTGCCTCTGCCTCCCAAGTGCTGGGATTAAAGGTATGTGCCACCGCATACCACTTAACTCTTAATTAAAAAAAAAAAATTGTTTAAATTTTATGTGTATGAGTGCATTGCCTGCATGTATGTAAGTATACACCATGTTGTGCAATGCCCATGGAGGTCAGAAGGCGTTGGATCCCCTTGAGCTGGTGTTATGGATGGTTGCTTGTTGCCGTGTGGGTGCTGGGAATTGAATCCAGGTCCTCTGCAAGAGCAGCCAGTGCTCTTAGCCGCTAAGACATCTCTCCAGCCCCTATTTTTTTTTTTTTAAAGAATGTTGGAGTACTGCAATTTACCCAGTTACTGATTAAGCTGGTTAGAACTTGTGTGAACTCCAATGACTCTTGCATACACTGAACTTCCGTTTGTTTTTTTAATTTCTATCCTATGTTAAACATAAAGTGTTTAATAAGTGTTGTAATTTTCCTATGCCTATGTAAGAACCACATAGTCTGAGAAAAGACAAAGTAGACAGCCTAGTATCTGAGAAGCCTTTTCAGTTTTCCCTCCAACTGGGTGTTGGTGGTGCACACCTTTAATCCCAGATTTCTGGGAGGCTGAGGCAAGCCAATCTCTGAGAGTTCCAGGGTAGCCAGAGCTACATAATGAAACCCTATCTGGGAAAAAAGTCCTCTTCCTTTGAGGGAAGACCATGAACTAAAACCTTTAACATGGTGGTAGACATGGTTGGTACATGCTTATAATCCTAGCATTTAGGAGGTTGAGGCAAAAAGATGAAGAGTTTAAAGCCAGAGGCTGGAGAGGTGGCTTGGGACTTAAGATAACACTTGCTCTTGCAGAAGACCCAAGTTCAGTTCCCAGCACCTACACGGCAGCTCATAATCATCTGTAACTCCAGTTCTAGAGGAACTTGATGCTCTCTTTTGGACTCTGGTCACTGCATTAACATTATTCACATAATCTCATGCAGGCAAACACATATACACAAAAATAAAAAAAATGGCTCAGCGATTAAGAGCACTGGGTGCTCTTGCAGAGGACCCCAGTCTGGTTCCCAGCACATACACAATGGCTAACAACCATCTGTAACTCTAGTTTCAAGGGATCTAATGTCCTTTTCTGGCCTCTGTGGGCACTGTATAACCTGGGTGCACTTATATACATGCAAGCAAAACATTCATACACATAAAATAATAAAACCAATTTTTTTTATCTTTAAAACAGTTCATAGTGACACTCTGTCTCTATAGAACAACAGCAACAAAATAAAACAGAACAACCTGGAATTCAAGTAATAGGTTCAAATTCTAATTTTGTTACAGAACTATAGTGTCCTGTGACAAGTTTGAGCTGCACCTGATTAGACGGTAACCCCTGTGCCTGAGTACGCTCTGAAGAAAATGGAAGTGATGTAAGAAAAACCAGCCTGCTCCTGACATATTGTGATTATGTTCACAGTAAATGGCAACCCATGAGTCTTGCTAGTGTGTAGGTCACCAGACTAATGCGGCACTTACTGATACTGCACTTACTGCCCTCAGTGGTGACTTATGGCTGTGGGAACTCTGACTCCTCCCATGTCAGCAGAGACACTCTACTGGATATGTAATATATTACCCAGGTTTTAAAACTTCCTAAACCAAAAAGTGTTACACTCATTTGTGAAGGTAGTATAGTAACCATGGTAGCAGACAGGCATATATGTAGAACAGTTGAGAATTATGTGGGCAGATGGTTAGGGAGATAAATGACTGGTCATTTGACAGGCAGCATAACCCTGCCAATTGCAGCCCACTCAAAGTCTAAAAACCAGTTGGAAAATTCTTGAATGCATGTCCTTGTCCACTGATAGACTGTCCCTGTGGTTGAGGCATCTCCAAATAAATAATTCCAACAAACTAACCAGAAGAGGTATTTAACCCAAAGTAACTGCAAGTGTAACTCTGCAAGGCAGAGCTCTTAGGGCCACAGGCATCCTCTAACAGGAACAAAAGCAGCAAAATCTGGGCTGTTTCTACAGTGAAGGGGAGAGTTCTACTGAGTTGCTAAGTTGCTGATCCTATGAGAAATGTGTCCAGATCCTTAAATGACAGAACCAGAGACCCTGGGGGAAAGGAGCTCTGCATAGCACATGAAAGGGCCTGACTCACCTGCACATGTTGCTCTCTGACACAGACCCACACAGTATAGATTCCAGGTTCCTTCGGAGTATAAGAAATGCAGTATGATCCATCCTTGTTATCCTGGACAATCGTTCTGACTGGACTGAATGAAAATAAGAGTTCAAAAAGTCACTCCATCTCACAAGCCTGCCTCAGCTTAGGTTGGAGGTCCTGAACCATTACGTTCAATATTAATTGTAAACGTCTCCCAACAGGATGCTTCAATTTGCCTCAGAAGTTAATTCCACAACAGAAGACAAATAGCATCAGTTCTACTTTAGCCCAATATCCTGAAAACTTCCTTGAAAATGTTACTGTGGGCTTCTGTACTAGCCTCTGCTGTGTCCTTTGCTCTGTTGCCCCTTCTCCTTATTCTAATTACAGAGAAAATATAAGTGTGCTCCTGGAACAATTAAGTAGAAAAGTGGGCTAGATTTAATAAAGGGCACAATTTAATTTCACATAGAAGAGGTCTCTGTCCATGCGAAAGCTTGAAATGAGGATAAGCTGAGGGATGGCTATACTGAGAACTGAAGCTAGCAATAAAACCTACGTAAGAAAACACTTGCTTCAGTTGTGTGAATCATAGCATGGCATGGGAAGATAATCTAGTCCAGTTTACATCTTCAGTAACTCAAAGGACCTCACTGACCACTGCCTATGGTACCTAATTGTGCAACACACACCTGTCTTTTTTATCTTTAGGGACAACTTCCACATGGATGTTATCTCCTCCTCTGCCCATGCTCTCTCCTGAAGCATCCTTACAAAGCAGGGTGAAAGAAGATGTCTGTTTCTCTCGAGCTCTGTGGAGATCTGCAAAAGACAAACATTTTTGATACAGGCAAACCAGACAGACCATCTCCAAGTCAGACTCCATCTTGCCTTTTCTCTTCAAGACAAAAGTTGTGGTTCAGTTTATTGTACCTATTATGTTCCCTTCCTTTTCTCCTTCCCTCTTCACTTCCAGGGCATGCCTCTTACTTAGGTGTCTCTCTAGAGGCCTGGATAGTTTTCAGTCAGCGTCTGCTCTTGATCACACAGGATCCTGGATCTTCACTTCAGCCTGAAGGGAACTTTGAAAATTTTCAGGATTGACCTACTATCCAAAGAAAACCTTTAGACTTTGGGGGGACTGGTAACTTCAAATCTATCTTCTGTAAGCTCCAGATCCTTCTGGAATAGGATAGCATGGAACAACTTGCAACTTGCATGTTCTGAGAGCCTCTGCATCCTAGAAGCTCTTGCCAAGGTACTAGGGGAATACCCAATGGCTACAGCCTGTAGGCCAGCATGCACATGAAGCCATGCTTCTTAACCAAGATTCCTGAGCTAGTAGGTTTGTAGAGAGGCTTATGAATGGTTGGTCTAGGAAACTCCTGAAATTGAATGCCCTAGTTAGTGAGTGTTTCTGGAGTGAGATTATTTCTAAAGGGATCTGTGACTTCTAAAGAGTTAAAAATTCCTTGTCAGAGTGAAGATGACTCATAAATACAATTTTCCCATCAGGAACATGAATAACATGCTTCCCTCAGGACTAGAACACTGGTCTAAAGAAAGCATTTCTAGCTGGATGTGGCACATGCTTCTAATCTCAGACTTGGAAGGCAGAGGCTGAGGCTGAGGCAGGAGGATCTCTATGAGTTCAAGATACTGTCTCAAAAAGGAAAGAAACTACTTCAATGACATAAAGTTTACATAAAGCAAAAAGGATAGGAAGAAAGGACGCCATGGTCTTGTCATGGCCCTGTAACCCCCTACACAGCATACAAGTAACCAAGCTCTGCCATGCACCTCTCTGAGCAGGCAGATTTTGCCTTGTCCTAGTCAGTGCTGTCATCTGTGGGTACAGTGAGGTTCTGTTTCCTGAGAAAAAGCATGAACCTTAAATTCCTTGGTAGCTTCTGTTCTGAAGTAGAAAATGGTCAAGCCTTACCCCTGTATTGACAGTAACTGCACTCTACCCAGAACAAGTGGGAACAAAAAGAGCCAGGCAGGAAGTCTCTGCCTCTTAAAGCAAGCCTTAGTTTTTGTTCAGTTTTTTGGTTTGCTTGCTTGCTTGTTTTCTCATGTAGTCCAGGCTGGCCTCAAATGTGCTGTGCTGCCAAAGAGGACCTCAAACTTCTGATCTTCCTGCGTCCACCTACTGAATGCTGGGGTGCCCAGGTTTACATGAAGCTGGGGATTAAACCCAGTGCTTTGTTGCATGCTAGGCAACAGTTCTGCCAACTGCCCAGCCAGCAAGCCATGTCTTTAAATATCACAACCCTGCCCACTGCCCTCTCAATGCCAAGGGAAATGTCTCCCTACCTTCTCCTTGAAGGACACATTTGGCTGGATTAACTTCTTTGGTATCAATGGCCCCATAAACTTCATAGCCTCGGCACTGGCCTGCCTTCTCCTGAGGAAAGAAGAAAATCTTATCATTGACTCCCGGCTGGGTGTTATATTCAACTTTGTTCAGCTTCCTGAGCCGTTCTACCACCACTCCCTTGGTGATGAGGATCTCCAAGTCCGAGCCACTAGTCAGCAAGTGCTCAGTGAACTCCACTCCAGTCCGCATGTCTGCCAGCAGCTGTTCCAGCTGTGCTTTTTGCAGCTGCAAGGAATTTTCCTTCTGCACCCTTATGTCCTCCAGCTGCTTTAGCAGCTTCTCCCGATGCACCTCGATGGCTTTGATGTAGCCTTCAGAGAATGTCCGGACATCTGCTGCCACCATCTCTACTCGTTCTTGGAGGGTGCTGTTCATGCTTTTGATCTGAGCCAGGGCTTCCTCCAGGGCCTCCACGTGGGGCTGGGTGCCTTTGAGGAGCTGCCGCAGAGAGTCCCCATGCTTGTGGATGACATTACTGGTGAAGTCATATGGGTGTTCCCGGTGCTCCCCCACCACGCAATCCCGACACACAGGTCGGTCGCAGAGCTCACAGAACAGCCTCAGCTCCTCTGCAGGATGAGCAGGACACAGGATGGGCTTTCCAACCCGGCTGTAACCTTTCAGGTCTTTTAGGTCCACCATAGTATGGTAAGTTGTCTTCTTCTGCCGCCTAGGAAGAAGCAGTTGGGGATGGAATTAGAGAATAACTCCAGATGGGAGACAGTTTGGCAAAGAGGTCCGAGGAATATAGGCTCTGAAGTGCAGCAAATTGGACTTTAGTCCTGGAACTGCTAACATCAAACTGCAAGGTCCTCTCTGCTTCATTTTTCCTCTATCCAGCGAGGCCAATGCCTACCTTGGGGGTTGTTGTTTAGAACAAAATGTTAACATATTTGAGTTTGGCATGGGATAGGGACCTATCTTTGTAAAAGGTTGTAATACTGAGACTACAACCTGAAACCTTCCCTCAAGAGTTAATCTGGCAAGTTTAGCCAAGAGCCACTACCTGCTTCTAAAGCAAGCAAGACGTGAGATGCAGTGGAAAACTAGCACCAGGAGACACAAGCCGTGCCACATGGGTCTGTATAGCGATTAGCTGGCGCTGACAAACTCTCCTCTCACTTTTCAGTAACATTTTAGTAAAAATTCCTTTGACCAGTGCCTACATTACCCACACTGGCAGGCCAGAATTACCGTCATCAGCATTAGTAGAAAGTGAAATCAATTGGCACTAAAATCCAAGCTCTCTTTTAATTCAATTCTGTATCCTTCTAAGGGGGTTGAGGGAAATCCCTAGGAAACCATGGTGACTACTTATAGAGTTCCCTGTTAGCATTCCATGAACTTGAAGTTTATATGTCTATTCTGGCATGAGTCTGGCTGTGAGAACCTAGGTCCAGCTAGCTGTTTAGGTGGCAGCCAGACAATCATCACACAATCATCACACAAGTTAAAAATCATCACAAGTATATATGTATGTAAGTATATGTGTATATATATGTATGAAGTTAGAGGTTGTATGTCTACTTAAGGTAATAAACATATAAGGTACTTCTATATGAGAGACAGAATTTTATATATTTACACATACATATATTTGCATATATATATATGCAAAAAGAGAGACTGAAACCAGCTCGCTCTAGATACCATGTGGTTTAAGTGTCAAGACCAAAATAAAGCAGCTGATAAAGATTTTAAAAAAAAATCATCACAAGTTAAAATAGGGAGCGAAGACTTGTTCTGTCAGTAAAGCCAGAGAACAAATCAAATTCAGAATTGAAAAATGATTTTATGTTAAACCTATCACCTCAGTTAGTCTTATTTTTCTACTATTCTGATGCCTTAGAAGGGAGGAAAGAAAGAAGGAACAGTGAACCATTTAACAAACTATTCCTTGAGTGTGCTAGAAGACATAACACTCCAATTAGCATCAACCGGTGCACTCACCAGGTCTAGAGGTCTAAGGCAACGGCCTAGGCAAGGCCTAGTCAATCAGCAGCTATGCTGAGAAGGTGGCATATAACAGTAAGAAACACACAAAAGCCAGACCAGGCTTGAAGACTCAGTTCAGGCATCCACTTACCAGCTGTGGGACCTTGGCAAATCACAAAGTACTGCTGAGCTTCCAACCCCCGTTCAATACATGGAGGATGGAAAGTGTCTGCCTTCTGTAATGTCTGCTTTTCTGTAGGAGTTACAATGATCGTGTTTTTCTAGCGAATAATTGGTGATGGAAAGGAACCGAATGTGCTCTGTAAACTGAAACATGTGTTGCTTTTATCTCTACAGGTATGCTGAGGGGGTTAACGTCCACTCTAGAGCCTGCGACTGCGTTCAGTATTGTTCTTTGACTTTTGCGGGATCTGTGTCTTGGTATCTCTGTTCTCCACTCTTAAGCCACAACAGGTGGGGTATTCACTCTTTACCTATGCGCCTGGCAGCAGAAGCGGCAGAGATTGGCTTTGCAGGTCTGACATCTCTTCTCTACTTCTCTGTCGCTGCACAGGTCACACACCAGGCCCTGGCCTTCCCCACGCAGACTCTCCAGCATCACATCATTCATGGCCAGGTGGTCTATGGTTAAAGCCTTCACTCCACCCAAGGGCAGGTCCACTTGAGCATCACATACCGGACAGAAGATGCCAATCTGCGACCGCAGTCTGCGTGGCTTGAGTTCCTGGAATAGTGACCCCTCAGAGCTTGTGTCTGAGTCTCCCCCTCGGATGTCCACTACTGAGAAGGGTTCCAGCTTTTCCAAACACGCGGTGCACACGGTGTGCAAACAAGGCAAGAGCCTGGGAGCTTTGAAAAGCCCCGTGCACGAAGGACAGTGAGTTTTGCCCGAGTTCCCAATTGCAGTCGCACCGGGGAGATTGTGCATGAAACCCAGACGCGACTTCCTGTTTTCTGACATATTCCCCACGTATGTACCCGGTATCAGAAAAGGCTCTGGGCAGTTCTACAATGCAGATTTCACCCACCCAAAGAGGTTTCCAGAACTCGAACAGAGACCGTGAGGACGCTGCTGTTGGGAAATAAAGGGGCAGCTGGGAGGAGGATGCCTCTAAGGAACCATCCACGGATCTACTTAGGACTTGTGGTTGGGCCCTCGCCTTTCCACGGCATCCCATCCCAGACACATTCCCGCCCTCCTCAGTCCCCCAAGCCGTCCTCCTCGCAAGCGCTTCCAGATCTAGGTCTCCAGCTAGTCCGGCGCCAAATCCCTGACCCCAGCATTTCCTGTCCTCCACGGCCACCCCCCACCCTCCCCACTGGTCCCGCCGCCACCACGCGACAAAGCACGCCCGTCCCCCCACGCGATGAGGTAGTGGGGTCCTCCGGCTCCTCGCTCCCCGGTGGCCGCCACTTCCCAGAGAGGCGGCCCAGATGCCCGAGAACTGGCGCCCTGCGCGCACCAAAGCCCAGCCCTAGTCAGCTCTGAAGAGTCCAATCACCGTCCAAGAGGGGCGGCCCTCGCTGCTGGGAGCTCCGCCCTCCTGAGTGACACCAGCGCCATCCAATAAACTCGAGAAGCTCCACATCTCGCCTTATTGCTCCCTCGACCAGGGACGAGAGCGGGACCAGGAGGAGCGAGGCTGGCGGTGAGCGACATAGTGTGGGTGGCGTTACCATCTCACAAGAACTGGCCCTCCGGCACGAGAGAAAGCCTCAGAACCACCGAAATGTTGCGGCAACGGGATCGGCCCGAACTCAGACTGGGCTCTTCCATTGGTGCGAGGCACTGTCAGTCTTCCGAGCTGAAGCCTGAAGCATGCTGGGAGTTGTAGGCGGCGTATTTTTGGCCGGGAGGAGACTGCAGAAGTTTCTCTTCAGCTGGGGGTCAGAATCGTTCCCTTTCCTGCCTCCTGAGCAGTTTTCAATCCTGGATCCCTCAGTGAGGATACAGAAACCCCCCCGGCAGGCTAGCTTCTGGCATTTTCCAGGGCATGGGCACCTCAGGCTCTGGTCCCAGGGCCCAGTCAGATCGTTAAACTGAAGTTTAGAATTGGCCGCCCCACGGAGCTTCACCGAGTTTCTGCGATGAGCGCAGCTTTTTTTTTTTTTTTTTTTTTTACCGGTTCCAGAGCAAGGCACATGGCCTAAGGGTTTAGACATTTCTCACCTAGAATTCTACAGTTGGGGTAACAAAAGCGAGCAGAGCAAGTTTGGCAGCTGTTTTTATCAATCAAGGAGGGCTTCTGAATTGTCACAATGGGATAGTGGAGGATGTCAGTGAGGGACAGATCTTTGTAGGCTCACCAACTAATTCGGAAAATGGACACACCTGCTACCCTTAGCGCTGTCATTTCCTTGTCACTTTGACTTTTGCCTGGAGTCTCGGAATTCAGTCATATGAGGGCTTTGCTGTACCTGGAATCCGAGACCTTGATTTCCAAATTCTAAAAATTCTAACAACATGGCTCCTTACCCTCCACTTTTTTGTTGTTCAGTCGCTTAAGCTTCCCTAGTGTGCTGTCTCACTACTGTCATTGTTCACAACAATGTTTATTTGATTTGGGCCATGGACAGCTGTTTCATTCATGTCTTTATACTATAGATTTCATGCTATAGACATAGTACCTGGAGCCTATGCTTTTTAGGGGAGAGAGGGCTCCCAAAATATGAAAAGAAATTTTAAAAATAATTATATGACTATTTCTAAAATGTAATGTGTTGGGCTGGAGATTTGGTTAGTTTGAGGCCCTGGGTTCAATTCCCAGCGTGCGTGCGCACGCACACACACACACACACACACACACACACACACACAAACAGCTCAAAATGGGATAAGATCTGGTCTAGTTTGAACTTTATTCTGAGGGTCTTGAGATGTGGTTCTAACTGTAGCATAAGTAAAATATATAGCATGTCAATGAATCAAAAGCCACTTTTATATAAAATTGTGTATTTTCCAACTTACAAAGGTCTTAAAATGGTTCTTACCTAGATTTCTTCAGCCTTTTATACTCTGCACCTACCCTCACACAGAATCTCCTTTCTTCACTCCATTATGCCGAAGTGAATCTCAAGCCTGTATGGACTTGCTCTGAACATCACCTCTGCCTTCCTTGTGCTTGTCTATACTCCATTTCATCTCTTATTCATGCTGTATCCCATTTCCCACAGCAGGTGTTTCAAACTCTCACTTAAGAAGTGCTTTATAATTTATATGTGCATCATCTCATTGAATCCCCTAACAACTTAAGAGAAAACAGTCTCAAAGAGATCCTAGTGGTCAACCTGAGGTAACATCTGGGATGTAAATAGAATCTTATAATGTCATATCTAAGATTTTACACCAGTCACCTCAAATACCAGTCTCAAAGAGCTCTAGCGGGCAGCCTTCAGTAACGTATCTGGGATGTAAACACAATCTTATTGATAGGGTTCAGTTCCAGGCAACCCCAGACCCAGAAACCATAAGGCCCCTAAGAGGAACTGAGTCAGCCAACTCCCAGCCACCTGCAAGCTGACAAAAGCAGCTTTACAATAGGAGTTTTCCTCGATAATTTTCACCAGGTACAAACCCCCCACGCCCTTTGTGAACAGCTCCCAAAACAGCCCCAAACAGCAGAGAAGTAGTCTCTTTTTCTGCATTCTTTCCCTTTATAAGCTACCCCCCTGTAGCCATTAGATTGCTGGTACTTCCTCACACCCAAGTTGAGGCCCAGCCCCGCCAACCCATTAAACTCTCACTTTGCCAGAGTCCTCTCTGTTTCTGTTTCACAGCGATCCAGACCCCTTCCACCTTTTTATCTAATACTTATGATGTCATGTCTAAGGTTCTGCTCCAGCCACCTCTATTCTTTTCTCTCAGCATATATATGTATATGTATATATATATAAATTTATTATTTTTATTTTGTGTGTGTGAGTGTACAGCCTGCATGTATGTAAGTGCACCCATGTCATCCAAAGCCTGTGGAGGCCATAAAAGGGCATCAGATCACCTGGAACTGGAGTTCTGGACAATTGTTAGCTGCCATATAGGTGCTAAGAATAGAACTCAGGTCTTCTGCAAGAGCAGCCAGAGCTCTCAACAGCTGAGCCATCTCTCCAGCCCCTTGTCTCAGCTTCTTAAGCATCAAATTCTCATAGATTGAGCAGCTAACTCCCTTCAGTTAAGTGAGAAAATGGGGCTTCGTAGAGAATGTCTTCACCTTTCTATTTAAAAGTCTATGCATCTTCACACCTCTCTCACACCTCTACAGATTGGCTTTCTTCTGTTCTAAGATTAGCCCTCAGCAAAAGATGTTCTTATCCCAACTTCTTCTGTCTCTCCAAAACTTTATTTCTCTTAGCTTTTCAGTCAGTCCTTTACTAACATGTTCTATCAAGAGCTATGATCAAGTCCTGAAGGGAGAAACAAACCCTCCCTTGATCCAGTTCTCTGTCAACATAATTAACCTTGATGACTCTCACCACTACATTCCGTAAAAAAGTAGCTTCATATTACTTGCGTCATTATCTTCTCCACCATCCATTTATTCTTCCTCTCGTTCCCATTGTAGGTTATGAATAACCTGTAAATTACGAGTAGTTACTGGACTTTTCTCAATACACAATCACTTTAGAATTTGCCATTGTTACGTATTATCTCATCCTTAAAATTTTCTCTACTTTCCTAGTTTTATATTATACTCTCTTAGGCTGCTATCACACTCTGTTTATCTCCCTGCCCCCTTCATTTATCCTGTATCTTTCCCATCTACGTCCTCTTATGGAGTTGACCCCAGCCCCACACTTCCAGTAATGACTTCGCCCCCAAGTTTTTGTCACACAATAGCTCTGCTTCTGAATATCATCCCTTTAACCTTTAACCTCTCTCCCCATCACCAGATTTTTCTTTGTTTGTTAAACTATGGTGTCTGAATTTTCCCATTTCGTTCTCAACAGAGGAAGATCATCCTCCCTTCCAGCATGAAACCTTATAGTCCTCCTGGCCTCCGTTCTCATTTTCCATATCCTGGCAGGCATCAGTTCCTTTCCATCCCCACTGCCAACACCCTGACTATTCTACCACATAGAATTTTGAAGATGGTACAAGACTTTTATCACTATCACCTTGAGTATCACAGTCTCTGAATTATCCCTGATTTCCATTTTTAAAATAACGAAATTGATCTTCCAAATTAATTGTAGAAACATTAAAACATGCTTCAAGTCATTCTAAAACTTCAGTAGCTAGATTCTCTTATAGAGCCATAAAACTAGCCTTTTAGGTACTCCCTAAACTCTCGTCAGTTTGTCTACACTGTTATCCTGTTTTATTTATACCTCTTTTTCCTTTTATGTCAGATAAACTTCATACTTCCTCCTTAAGATTTCTGTTATTTCCAGGCTTTGGGTTTGTTGTCTAATAGCTCCTTTATGAATTTGGGGATTTAGCTCAGTGACACAATTGGACACTCAACACCAAAAAAATAATTTAAAAAGAGGAAATCTCTATTGCTTGCTTATATTGCTCACTTTGCCCTTTATTGTTTTGTTTATTATGTATGTGTGTATATAGTTATGTATGTCAATGTATACCATATATATCTCTGTTAAGATAGAAAAACTATTGGCAACCAACCCAGTGCTTTCATAGTAGGCATTTGATAAAGACTTGTTAATAATGAGGCAGAAAATGGTGATCTCAATGGGAAAACTAACAGGACCATATTCAACCAAGAATTTTGTGGATAGTGGAGACCTTAAGTGGTACTGGTTGAGATTATTGGATTAGAGGAGATTTGGTAACAGTGCTCCTTTGTCACAATTAATTCAGCGTCTTGCTCCATGTTTACACATTACTGCACTGTGAACTCCATTCAGCAAATTGTTACAAGAAAGTACAAAAACCGTAGAATCAGAACAGGACTGCTGAAAGTGACCAGGTCCATGGAAGTGTCTAAGGATTTCAGCCCACCCCTAATGTCAGGCAAGAAAGCCTGGAAGGGAAGATGAGCAATCAGGAAAGCAGGATGGTCTCTATCTGACACTCTGCTTGATTAGTAGCACCAGCAGACAGAAATGAACAGATAGAAAGGAAACCATAGGTTCCATCAGACCGTTCACCGTCACATCTTTCTGTACCAGTCGCTAACCCTTTACCCTTTTCTCCTGAGTCCTGTAGTCCA